TTCGCGATGCTTTCGGGAATAAAAACCTTTACATGTGTATATATATATATATATGTGTGTGTGTGTGTGTACGTATGCACGTATGTACGTATGTACGTATGTACGTATGTACGTATGTACGTATGTATGTGTGTATGCATGCAGGCATGTATGCATGTATGTCTGTATGTATATATAAGCATGTATATGCCTACATGTATCTGTGTATACTCACATGCAGATGTTCATGTATGTGTTTCTGCACATGTACATATATGCTGAAAATGAACAGGCTTTGTCAGAAAGAGCAAGACTGCTTGTTTTTTGCTAATTTGGGTATGTATGATGCGTGTTGGACATATTTAATGTACTCATATATCAAATTCTACAAACTCTGTCAGTCAGTCGGTCATACGCCACTACAAACTGCTGTTACCTGACAGTTCCCATGATGCGAACTAAACTCTGAAACCCCATACCGACTCCTTGCAGCCGCCCTGGCTGATTCGATTCATCCCAGTACGCATGCACATCAGTCCAGTCGTTGATCTGCCGGGACCTGAAGCAGTCCTCCTCGGCCACAGGGATTCCTAGCTCTTAGGGCCGAAGGTGAGGGGAGCTCTGGGGGCTTTTAGGGCTTGCGTACGTGATTGTGTCCAAGTTGAGGCGACTGAGCCGAGGTCTGTCTGGGCTTCGGAGTGCGGGCAGTAGTCGAAGATGGCAAGGCCATTGTGATCAGCATCCAGCCTGGCATCGACTTCTTGGGCCATGGCATGACAGTTTCCGGAGGCCCCGACTTTGAGAGTAAGCTCCCGGCACAATGTTTGCTTCCAGTGTGCCACCGGCCGTGTAGGAAGGCTCGGCCGGAGCCGTGGCTACTCGATAGTCTTAGTAGTCAACAGCCACTGACCACTGCATTTGCGCTTCTGGGGAGGCGGCGAAACCTTCTAGGGGCTCTCCATGCCACATGCAGGCAGGAGGCTGTTATAGTTGCTCGCAGGATACGGCGCATCACCTGCAGAAAGCCCGTGAACAAAGAAGCGGGCATCTCAGAGCTTGCTCGGCCTATTTGAGAGCCAAGGCAGGGTGAGGACGGCTCTGCATCCGTGTTGACCACGCCGGACGGATTTGTGACCTTACGTGAAACACTCTGGTCAGGACCCAGCGCCGATTTTGCACATCTGTTGCTGTAGATGGCATGATGAGATCCCATAACATGGTAAGCCCAAGCTCTTCACCTCTTTATGAAAGTCTCAATAATAAGGCAGGTAGGCAGAGCTCTCTGGGATCCTGGCCGGCTGGTGCTCGCCCACACACCATGGGCAGTACTGCTGACCTCCCAGACCACTGAAAGGATCCAAAAAAACGCCAAATTTGACCCATCTATCTAACCATCCATCCATCCATCTATCCTTTCCTTAGATCCTGTAAATAGTTTTGGAGTCCGTATACACGTTATGCAAGGAAGGTGCCTTGGCTGACACACATCCGCGACACCATCTACACGCCCTCACTGCCTCCGAACTCGGACAGGGACTTCGAAAAGCATCGCTATCTTGCCCCTCCCACCGACACAGGCTTCAAGACAAACGTGGAAAGAGCCGCTGAGCGGCTAAAGCCAACCGCAAAGATCGACCATGGGGCCATACTCGTCAGACATGAACAGGAAGACCCTCACCCGCACGGTGGGTGCTGGGCCCTCTGGGAGCCCTACCTGACACCAGGCGGGGCAGTGGCTTGGTCAGGGCGCCATGGCCCAAGGCGCCCACGAAGAGAGAAAAGACCTTGGACTTTGACTTTGGAATACAGTAGAAAAAGAGGCTTCTCGGCATGTGGCTCGTTTTGGCCACAATTCGGCAGAGTTGAATTCTCAAAACTTCGTTGACAAGTTGACACGGTAAACTGTCCGGGCTCCTGATGTGGCCTCGCAGGACCCACAGAGCTCTGACCTCTTTGGCCACATTATAAGGACGGCTGCGGCCCACGCCAGCATGTGCTCCAGCTTCATCGCCTCAACTAAAGGTCCAAAGCCTGCACCAGCGACAGGGAGATGACTGGATGTTGGGTGCAGGGAGTCCAGAGCAAACGTCCCACCTTCCCGACGGGTGCGGGTCCGGATTACACGGAAAGTTGAGCTGAAAGCGGCTTTGGAGCGACACCGAGACTGAGCGAGCACTCCTCATCACTCGCTTTTCGAAAGCTTCTACGCGCCATGGGGGGTGCAGGCACCCGGCTCTCCGTTACACAGAATGCGCCTAGCTTGCACCGAGGACGTGACGAGTCAGCTGCTTCAAGAGGCGGCCTGACAGATGCAGCATGTTCAGGGGCTAGAGTAGGGGACAGTCAAAAAGTCCCTCGAGCTCGCTCTACGATTCGTCACAACAGATCAACACAATGTTGACGTGAGACGACACGAGATGGTGCGCTGTTCACCGAGGTCGACCGCCCATGCCCAAGCCCAAAGCCATCATCTTCAAGAACAACGAGAGCTTGGACAGCTGAGGTGCTGATTTCTAGCGAGTCCGGAACTTGACGGGTCAACCCTGTACCCCAGAGACAGGTTGCACTCTGTTTTTGGATCAAAGCCAATCTCCGTCGCTGAGTCAGCTACTGCAGCTGGGTTTAAGCACCCGGCATCTTGCAAACCCATTTTCGACTTGAAGATGTCCGCAGAATGCCGCTGCAAGTTATCCGTGTGAAAGGTGCCGTCTATGGGCCCCGGATAAAGGGCAGGAAGCAGCTCGATGGCCTGTGACGAGTGACAAACTCACGTCTTGAAGCAATGTTCAACGGCGCTCATACTGAGACAAGTCCACACCCGCAACACAGTATCCTCCAAGGAGGGTTCTGTGCAGTGTGCGGCAACCTAATCGCTACAGACGACACGTTGACGAGAACTGCGGCAAGTGCAGCAAGGTGCAGCAGCTCAAAAAGGAACTAAAGAGAAGGCGGCCAAATTGCACTGATCCAGGCTGGGCAGCATCTCCCTGAGACCTACCGAAGTGGAAGGTTGCAAGGCTGCCAGGCTCGCCATGATGCTGATCGCCTCGTCTGCTCGCTTCTTCACAATGCGCTGGACGTCTCTGTCGTCTTGCCCCATCTCTTTGCCGATGCTGGCACGGATCGATCCAGCCTTCGTGGTCAAGTCTGGCACTATGGCGGGATCGGCATCCAAACCTCTCAACCCGGCCGCCAGGGTCGGCAGCATCTCACGATGCCCGGCGCACAGGAGCTCGAGCTGGTCACCGTCGGAGAACTTGCGCACAGCCGGATACACAGCAGCCTTCACATTTAGGATTTGATGGGCGCCTTGTCCACAATGATGACGTCAAAGTCAGGGCACGAATCCAAACAGTTCAATAGAGCTATGCCAGCAACAACATAGGTCAGGCGAGTGTTTTGTGAGCGGACTTTGCAGCCACCAATCTCGAAGCCAACAAGATCCCCCAGGTTCGTTTTGGTTCGCTGCGCCACATAGGCGGCCAGGGTCGTGGCTGCGATGCGGCGAGGCTGAGCGCACAGAATCTTGGTTGCCGGACAGGACTTCTGGAATTCCGCCAGCAGGAGCTGTGGAAGATCTGTTGACTTGCCCGAGCCAGTGGGGGCGACCAGGATTGTCACCTGGCAGCGCTTCATGGTGTCAAAGATTCGGGACCAGTTCTGGCCAACCAGAGACGGAAGGCAGGTGTCCAAGCAGGGTGTCGCGGAGCGCCGGCCTTTGCGCGCCACTTCCGGCATTGCACGGGCTGGTCCATCTGTTAAGCTCTGCGATTCAGGTCTAGGTCGGCTGCCAAGAACGGTTGCATGTCTAGTGTCTCGTGACGACCTGTCTCTTGTTGTGCCTGACAGCTTCGAACGCCAAGCATCACCTAGCCACAAACAACCCAAGGACGGGCCCAGCAGTCGGTGAGACTCCAGACTGGGGCGTGCAAAGGCGGCAACCTTGAATACCATGCTGGCGATTGGACGATGGCTGCTTGGGAACGACGGTGTAACGGAACATGCCCACGACAGCAAAGCCTGAAATGAAATAGCAGAACACGCGCACCTGCAACGAACGGCGAACAAGTGCAGCCGCACGACATGCTTGAAAGCCAGGGCACCTGCTGCCATGGAGAACGAGATCTCCACGGGACTGAACCTGAAGGATTTCGAATCCAGAGCTTGACAGTACGAATGGCTCAACCATAGCTAAGCCAAGAGTGCGCAGAACTCATGTGGGTACATATGGGCATGCATGCATGGAAGCAGGAAATTCTGCACATAAGATGCGATGGATGGAAGGATGGATGGATGGAGGGATGGAGGGGTGGAGGGATGGAGGGATGGAGCGAGGGCTGCATGGATGGATAATCGATTGATATACAAATGTGCACCAAGAAAGACAGATGCGCTGCAGGTGTCGAGGTCATCTTGGGACGGCACCAGCGACATGATTGGAGGGTGACCTGCTTTTCCAGGACTCATGACACTGCTTGATATGATGGCACACAGGACCTTTGTTTCTACTCATGCACAGGAACGTGCGGGTCATGCAACCGCAGAGCGGTCTCGGAAGCAAGCTCGCTCTCTGCAATCAGAACTCCTCATAATACTCCTCTCGAGCTAGCCTGCGAAGCAGGTCAGCGCAGGCAGAGGATGACATCACATGACATCTAAAGGACCCGGTCGGGTCTGTCTTGCAGGGGTGGAGCACCGAGGCGAGCATCAGGCTCCGGCTGCATCAAAATCTGAATCTAAGTGAGAGACTCGTGCAACTTCGTGCAATTGATGGGCCCTGCAAAGGTCGGGAACGGATACTGAATTCAGGGTACCGCGCAATGAGCTGCGGATTTCGCTGCCCCCCCAAGTCTACTAGGCTCAGCGGGCCTACGATGCGACATATCCCCACGGTCAACCGGAAAGCTTCTCAATCATCTTGTTGAACCAGTTGGACTCTGCACAGTAAGCCTCCTGTAGGTAGGACTCCGCCCGATCCAACAACTTTGCGATGCTTTCAGCCGAAGTGTCCGACCAGGAGATATCGGTCTGCAGCCTTGGGCGGTGGTAGCTGAGCTGCTCGAAGCGAGCAGGATCCTCGAGGCTGAGATCAGTGTCACAACCCAGCGAGAGCAGCACATTTGGTGTAGATGCCTTCTGAGTTTGTGCATCTCCGTCCGAGTGAGACGTCTGTGCCCACAGCAGAGCCCTCGTCGCAAGCCCGCCTGCCAGACACGTCCCATCGAGGGCATAGGGAGAGTTCTGATCGGCAGCAGAGCTCCTGGCTCGAACTATCACAGATGTGTTTCTGCCCCTACCCACACTTGCATGGACGCTTCCCTCTTCACTCGTCGATAGACGATGATTTACTAACTGAACGTTCGTGCGTTCGCTGGCTATTGCCGGGCCTGAGAACATCGAACAGCTCGAGATCGCCCCTGTAGCCCCCATCGCTGCGACGGGCTTCATTCGTGACCCATGGCTCCGGTCTATCTGCCCTGCGAGACTGCACCATGATGTTGCCCAAGGTCTGACTGAAGTAGATGGGTTTCCCTGCCGCCCAACTTGTCCTGTCCTTGAGGAGCTGTGGAACAACCTGGGGGACCACCTGCTTGCCGTGAAACACGTACAGCTCCACGATGTCACATGCGCTGTAGCGGGGCTTCCGCTCCGCCGTTGGTGTAGCCAGGCCACCAACTATCAGCGATCCTGTGGAAGTCCCTGCCATCAGGTGGAAGACCTGGTGCAGGGGCTTGTGCAAGCGAAGCTCCAGCTCACTGAGAAGGACAGCCGGCATGACGTCCTGGATGCCTCGTCCATCCACGCTCAAGATGTTGTAGGGATCCGGAGATCTCGAAGCCTTCCCGACTTCCAGCGGCATGAATTTGTACAACGCTTTCCCCTTCTTGCAGCGGAAGCCCATGCTGCTTTGCTGCCCCCATTTCGGCTGCTCCGCCTTATAGCTAGCCGGAGTCTCGCAATGCTGCATCGCAATGCGCTGACCCTCTTGCAAGCGCTGCAGCCACTCCTTCTCCTCACCGCAACTCTCCACAAACTCCGGCGTGTTCCCCACCTCATCGGCACACTTCTTCGACCAGTGAACCAATCCTTGGCTCAACAAGGAATGTGCCTTGGTCAAGTAGATCTTGGAGAAGACAGAAGGAAACCAAAGGAAGCGCTGCGTCTCGTTGAGGATGTCGTCAGTAATGGTAGCATGCAGACTTTCCTCTGACAGCAGGCGAAGGCAAGTCATCAGAATCTTGGCTTGGCGACAATCCCCAGGCAAGCTGGCAGAGGTGTGGATCCGCAGTAGCTCTGTGGCAAAGCTCACCTTGCGATCACCTCCCTCCTTGCGCTCCTGCTCGAAAGCTTTTGCAAGCTCTTCCAAAGCCTTCATGACCTTGCCGCCTTTGCCATCCCAAGCAATCGTGCTCGGACGAATCCGGAGGTCACAGGCCAACTCTCTGGCAGCTAAATGGAAATCTCCAGGCTCAAAAAGCTGTAGGCTGCACCATTTGTCGTTCTCCTCCGCGAGCAAGACCTCGAAGCCGTCCTCTGAAGGATTGGGAAGAACCGCACGTTTCTCTGCAGGCTGCCCAAATCGATCACCACCGACGCCACCGCAGCAACTCGCCATGAAGCCAGGCGGCTTGCACACAAACACCTGCTTGACGCCGCCACACTCTTTAGCCAGCCACCGCAAGGCATCGTCGCAGTCGGTGCTGTCGAGGGACTTCATGCGAGCCAGAATCTCCTGAGCCTCCTCCTGGACCTCCTTCGTCGCAGGACTGGTCTTGGACTTCTGGTGTGCAAGTGAGGCTAGAAACGCTGTTGTCAGGCTCTTGAACTTGTCGGGCAGTGTTGTCGGCCCAGCTGAAAACCCCGGGAACTCGACGATGCAAGCCAGCCGTTGGCTCCACTGCTCATACCTGACGATCTCCGCTGGGCACACCTCACCGTCGTCAAGCATCTTCAGTTCACGGCCGGCAAAGACCTGGAAGAAGTCTTGCACAGCTTTCACGCGAATCTCCAGATCGTAGGAGGAGGTAGAGGCTTGCACAGATTTAAGAACCTTCTGCAGAATCAACTCTGCCTTCTTGATGTTTCCATCCTCTTCTTGCGTTGCCTCCTGGTTCAGCAGCAGCAGCATTGCCATGTTGATTCGAGTAATCTGCAACAACTGGAACAACTGAGCCCGGTGTCCATCCTTGGCAGGCAGATCCTTCACGAAGAAAGATGCAAGGTCGTTGAAGGATGTCCACATGGATCGGGACAGCTCAAGCTCAATGGTGCACACGTCGTCCACAAAAAGCTTGGTCAGGCATTGCAAGTCTTTCAACTCCTTTCTACGTTCGAGTGCACTGCCGTCCTTCTTGTAAAGCGTGGCCTTCTGCACAGTCATGCCGCTGTGCGATGCGGTGGCACAGATTCGTTCAGGCAGCTGCTTCTTGAGGTACCATGCCTGGCTGGCTCTGGACCATGCAAAGAATTCTTCAAGAAGGCTGCCATCTTCTTTCTTCTCAAAACGTGCTTTCTTTGGGATCAGGGTATCTTCAGTTCTTTTCGCATCCAGATCAAGTGCCGCCTTGTACAGGTCCCCATGGTCTTCGTTTCCCTCAGACACACTTTTCTCCAAGTAGTTCAGGATATTCTCTGCCTGAATCTTGAGCCGGTTGTACATGGGGACCTGGGCCTCACCATTGGCGACCTTCATCTTCTTGATGCGTCTGGAAGCGAAGATCTCTGCAACCTGCAACAGCAGCTGTCCAATGAACACCGGGCAGACTGACCATTCTAGAAGGAACTTGACGCTGCCCTCCAGGTCTTTCAGAGGCTCTTCCAGGGTGTGCGGGTAGTTCAAGACTTGCTTTCCAGCAGCCCCTCCGAGCTCCCTCGAGTTTGGCAACGGCATGCAGAGCGTCTCCAGGAAGGCTTCCGCACCCTTGGTTTGCAGTGCTTTGTGGCTTTCCCGGACGATGTGGTGTAAATGCTTCAGGAAGCTCCCACGAGCAGATGCCTGCCGACCGGCTTCCAGCCCTGCCACACCACCAATGGCCAAAAGCAAGATTCCGGCACCTCCCGTGGCTAGACAACCAATCAAGTATCCCGTGGCGAAAAGTGCTACACCTGATGCCAATCCGGTCCCTCCAAGCACTTGACAAGCTGTCTGTGAGAACTTCAACGTGCGGCACATTGGCGAGCTGCTGTCACAACGGGCGACTTCCAGGGTGGGCACCATCAGCTGGTACGCGTCCATGTCAAACTGCCTTGTCGACTGGAACACTTTGTCTAAATCAGCTCTTGTGGAAACCTGGAGGTCGCTCCGAAGACGCTGACCTCTGCATGCCGTTGGAAGCAAAGCCAGTACGTCCGTATTGGCCACATGGCCAGCTTCAGCCTTGCCCGTCCGCACTGCAGCACAAGCTCCAGGTGCGTGCACTTTCTGCTCGACCTCCAGGATGGCCTTCAACAGCACATTGTGCTCCTGCTGTTTCTGTTGATCTAGGGGCCACGTTCGATGCCACAAGTGCTTCGCTCCGATCACATAAAGCTGCGCAATGTTCGCTGGCAAGCTCTCCAGAACACATGCCTCGGCGATGCACAGACGCACTCGGATTCGTCTTGGCTCGTCGGGCTCATCCTCGCGATCCAAGAGGCGCATCAAGTCGTCCCAAAGTTCACGGGCACGCTTGGCGGCATCTTGCTGCTTGTCCTGGTGCAGGCTGGAAGCATCCTTCTTGGCCAGCTCTGCGTTGTCCTCAGCACGGCGCATCCACACTTTAGCCTCCCCCTCCAATTTCTGCATTCGCTTGCGAAGGTCCATCAACTTTTCCCTTTCCTGCTCAATGTCCTTGCCCACCTGACTCACAAGGGCTGTCGCGGCGGTGAACTTCTCCAGGTCTGCCTGCACCCGCTCCTCCACGTCTCCCTGAGCGTTCTTGATGCTGTGGACTCGCCAAGCTAAGGTCTTTGTCTTGTCGGTGTGGAAGGACTTTAACAGCTGGCTCTTCTTTGCCCTGAGTTTCTCGATGGGCATCTCATCCCAATCGTGGCCGAAGAGGAAGGCTCGGGCTTCGGGGCGGGACTTCTGGTAACACTGCGCCACGAGGGAGGCAGTCCAGAGCAGCACTTTGTAGTACTGCGCCTGCACCTCGAAGAGGCCGTATATCTCCTCCATGTTCTCCATCTCCTCTTCGATGAAGTGGTTGGCCTTCTGCTGCACAAGCGCAAAGAGCTCCTGTTTGAAGTGGAGCAGGAAGAAGGCCACCTTCTCATCATCCGAAGCAGTCTCGAAGCTGCAGACCAGCTGCATCACCTTGTCCAGATCGTCCTGCGGCTCTGGGCCGGCCACGAAGCCGGCGAGCCGCTCTTCCAGGCGCACCTCGGATGACAGACCAACTGCCTAGTTATGCTCAACTCCCAGCGAGAGCAGACCTGCCATCAAGAGATCTGGCGTCCTTTCTACAGCATTCTACAGCCCTGAGTCTCAATGTGCCTCGACCTGCAACGCTCCCCGCCAAAACGCCTCGGAGTCCGGCTGCCAGTCCGCATCCTCGGCCAAGCGGCATTGGTCCTGACACGGCGTGCGTGGGCTGCGTCTGGGGGAGGGTTTGAGCTTGGTACCAAGGCGGAGTCCTCCCAGAAGCCTCTCAGCCGGGCCTTCGCCTGACTTGCATCCACCTGACAGGTCGACTTCTGCGTTTGCTCGAATCTTGCGGATGAGACTTAGATGGCAAGACAGGTAGGAGGTTCGGCATAGGATGCAATGAACATGCGGCAACCCGGCACCTTGGGCTTCAGGCGCAGTACCTTCTTCGAGAAATCCCAGCGCAAGAGGTTGCAAATGTCCCGGAGCATTTGGTCGGTCTCGGGCCCCGTGTTGTCCTCCAAGACTTCCGCAAGGTCACCTCAGATGTCGGGTGGACGACGAAGACAGGCATGACGGGCCCTGACCTGAACTTGTTGGCTCCAAGGCGCCCAGATGATCCAAAACCTGCTGGAACGCCTTCATGAGTTCCGCAGGGCTGCCATCCGAAACTGCCAAGTGCTGGTAGATGCCAAAAACCTCAGAGGCATGGAGCTGCAGCCCTGCTTGTCAAAACCAGTACACACAAGATGCATCCGTTCCGATTCAGAAACGCAACCTGCTCGACGATCTGGGCGGGCTCGCGGCCACACTCCGTCGCGAGCTCCAGCACTTGAGCCTGCTTGTGCAGCTTCCCGCTGGGGCCGAAAGTCTTGCCGAGCTGTGCTTCCTCCCAGGCCATGCCGATCAAGTCTTGTCTTGCTGACCCTTCCAGGAACCACTTGTGAGAGCCAGAATCGCTGCAGGACATGCCCTCTGTTTTGCTTTGGTGGGCCTGGGTTTCAAAGTCAGACGCACTCGTCAGGCTCCCAGCTCGCAGCTCAACGTGTGTAAACCGGATCTCTCAGGATTAGGCAACGAGAAAAAGATTGCCGAGGGCTCTTCCATTGACATCATTGACACCCTGCCCTGGTGCGGTTGCCTCACATGCAACCGCGAAGATGCCGACCGGAACGAGCCTGTGCATGCAAATGTAAAGTCATGGATATCGAAACACCGGTAAGAACAACTTGAGCAATCGCTCCATGGGCGCTTTCATGATGCTACTGCACGCACACAACAGGAACAGCGAGGTGCAACCGGGGCTGGTCCGCCTTGAGTCGCCATGTCTGAAGCATTGCACTTGCTTCGAGCCCGCGACAGACCGACATTCTGGACAAGGAAGGTCGTGATGGGGAGATTCCCAAGCCACTGCTTGGTCTCTTTCCACGACCTTGCGATTCTTTATGCCATTCTCGCTTGCACCCCGCTACACTGCCTGGCTGAATGAGTTGGGTACATGCATCGAATAAAGGAACTGATAGGGAGACGCATAATTATTGCTAGTGAGGGACAAAGGGATCCCGTATGCTGCGCCTATCGCGAGAAACCAAGCCTTCTCCAAAAGACAAGATCTGCCGAACCATGAGTGTCTCAAGTTCCTCTCGACACCGCAGATGTAGCAGAACAAAGCAACAGCAAAGTGGAATCCATCGACAAGGCTGCCCTCAAGAATGAACAAATGGTGAGTGAGGCCTCTGACAATCAGGGTGGTACTGACAACTTGCTGTTGAAATTACCTAGTGCACGCTGGGAGCATCTAAACTGCCTGATCGGACGGCACAGTGCTGTCAAATATGAAGCGAAATCGGCGCTTCTTCAAGCTTTGCGAGAACCTGGATGCCATGCCTCCCTAGTCTGTTAAGCGGGCTCTTCGTTACTCCTCAGAAGGGCAGGCTCCAGGAGCCAATAGTACGCACCCGACCAGTACGCCCCTTCGTTTGCAACTCGTAAGCTGCAATCCAAGAAGTACTGACGCTAGTGACCCAAAATCGCGACACGTATTGACGTATTGAACGAGCCACACTTCAAGTTTCACTTTTAACACGTGCCTGATCTGGTTGCGGGTGGCTTTACACTGTGAAACACTGAACCGGTGCGTGGCGGCACCCACCGTGAAGTGGTGAATCGGTAAATGCGTATGGTGAAACGAGTTGATTCTTCTACGGATTTAGCAGAATCAGCTGCAAAGCCGGCAGTGAACTACATAGCTTTACAATCGAAAGGCCGTTCAGGCTTGTATCCCTCGGTGTGAAGAATTCTCGAGACAGAACCCCGCAATGTGCACACCGCTTTTCGCATGAGGCGTGCACAGAACTGCACCACACTACGCCGCACAGGCCAATTGCACCCACCAGGAATGACCAACCTCACTGGGCCTCGAGGTGCTTCTTCAGGATGTCCGCAAGCCCTGGGTGGTGTCGCGCCAAGTCAAAGAATGTCCAGTTATACTGACCGCGGGCCTCGGGCCGGGCTCCGGCCTTCAGCAAGGCCTCGACCACCTTCAGGTGGTCTTCTTTTGCAGCAACGAGGAGGGCCGTGCGGCCAGAGTTATCGTGGGCCTCCAACTGGGCTCCGGCCTTCAGCAACGCCTTGACCACCTCAAGGTGGCCCCTCCTTGCGGCGTGGATTAAGGCTGTGCAACCTTGCTGGTCGCGTGCCTCCAGCTGATTTCCGTGCTTCATCAACGTCTCGAGCACGTCCACATGACCTGCATCTGCAGCCTGGGAGAGGGCTGTGTTGCCGAATCTGTCCAGCGCGCTGGGGTCCGCTTTCTGACGGAGAAGTCGCTCCACCCGCCGTTTCCTTGTCCGATCGTCGTCTTTCTGAATTCCCTGCAGCGACTTGCTGACTAGGACTAGGCCGGTCAAATTCTTGTTCAGAGCATCCATGCGGTCTTTGACCTCTCGGTACCTGGTGACAGGTAGTGGCCTTATCATCAGCTCCCTGCCAAGATGCAAGTCCTGCAAGCCGTACTCGACTAGGAGCTCCTTAATCGCCGCCTTCGGAGCCACGACCTGGCAGGAGCGGTTGAAGCTTGGACACTTTGTGGCGTTGGCTCCCTAACCGTCCTCGCAGCTGCTGGGATTTTCAAGAAAGTATCTGTGACCCCCCCGTGCCTGGAGAAGCTCCCGGTCCTTCCGATCCTGTTCCTCTTTCGCCTTCGCGGCGGGAAGCTCTTGGTGCGATAAAAAGCAAAACAAGCACATGGGAGGCCTTGACCAGCGTGTCCACGTGCTCCGCCAAGGCTTTGTCCAGGCTGCAGGCGCCCGAGCAGTCGATGCACTGCCACTGAAGCCGCGACCTCAACGCGAAGGCCCCCCGGCTCCAGTGAGGCATGGACTTGGCCCAAGTGGGCAGCCGGGCGAAGAGCTGCATCTGCAGCGCAGGGCTGGTCTGGTCGCAGGTGCCCATGAGGTCCACGAGCACCACTTTCGGAGACCAATACCCAAGTCCCCAGGCTGCAAGACCCACGGTAGGCATTTCATGGACGAACAGCACGGACTTGGACAAGCTGCGCTCTCCCGTAAGATCTTTGTTGACCAGCGAGACGACAGTGCCCTGACCCTTCTCGCGCATCCCGAGGACAAAGCTCATGCTAACCACCGCCCACATGTTGCTCGCGAGCGAATTGGTGAGGTCATCCACGTAGCAGGCATCGAG